AAGTGTTCACCGACAGACGAAGGGTTAGACAAAATATGTTACACACATACATACAACAGAATATTACTTGGGTTTAAAAGAAAATTCCAGACAAGCTATACAGTTCAGTGGTGTGGCACTTGTGAGGCATATGTGAGGCCCTAGATTTCATTCCAAGCACTGAAAGAAAAACAAACAAAAACCTTTTAAAAACTAAAACACCTAATTTGAAAAGAATAAATCCATATAGCAGAATCAACTCAAGCTAGATCTTAGTAATAGTATCCACTGCTTCATACTGACCACTACCAATTTCTGATCTGTGCTTCCCCTAACACTAAGTACATGCCCTTCTTTCTATCTTTACCTCCACTACTGCAACACTCTGTAACAAGTCTGATAGTTATCAAGCCCCACATCACTACTAGAGTGATCATTATAGCAAAATATATGGAGTGCTTATTTTGTGCTTATTTTTTTTAGGTTCAGAGGATATAGTCATAGAATCAAAAAGCTCCCAGGGAATTCAATGTGGTCTATGAGAGAGGAAAAAATGAAACCATTCCATTTCAGACAGTAAAAATACTAGGAAATGAAAGCAAGCAGGGTAAGAGCTAAGCTACTGCAAATACAAGTCAGAGGACTCACTGAGATAAATGCCACTTACCAGGGCAATAGTTTCCAAACTGTTTCAAGAATGTCTGTTGCGAGGAAATATTTTACTGTTTTAAAATAACCCTGGACTTTTGAATTATAACCTGTTTTTATGTTCCAAAAAAAAAAAAAAAAAAAAAAAAAAAAAAGATAAAAAAAGAATGTCTGTTGTACTGGAAAAATCATGTGATATACATCTAGAAGCTCCATCTATAACTAGCAAACATTCCATAATACATAAAAAAAAGTGACTTTTATGTATAAAATGAAGTAAAAATGAGACCAAACTGAGAACAAAATGCATTTCTACACCCTTTGGCAGAATAGCATTGTGTCTGCTAACACTGTTAACCAATGCACTCACTGTTCTACTTTGCTAAGATACCTTCCAAAAACCAATTATACTTCTGTCACTCCCTTCAATTTGGTGGCTTTTCACTGTCAGACTGGAATCAGGCATTGAATTGTGGCAGTAAATGACTTTAACCACTCACATTACCTGGAGTTTCTGCACATGCAGTTTCCAAAGAAAACCAAGCAGTCTGGTATAGAGTTCTTACCATTCCTCAGACTGCCACCCACTAAATCTGTTATTGACCTACTAAGGTCCTTTCTACCTGTACAGCCCATTTAAATACCAATTCTAGAGCATCAACATGAATAGGATTTCTCTAAAAAGTGGCATTTCTGTCAAATTCCTCTGGTCTGTAAACACCTGACACTTCTTATTTGTGTTATTTCTTAAACACTATACATTTTGGATAAATGAATGAATACTTATCTTTAATCTCTCAGGTTTTTAGGAGCAAACACTTATTATTCATATGCTTAATATACAGTCTAAAGAGGAGCTACAACTTGAGTGAGGAGGATAAATAAAGATGGTACAAAGTCTTACTTGGTGTCTGGGTACCAAAATGTGATGGTTTAAGAAATCTTTACAGAATTGTAAAATAACACCAGCTGGCTATATTCAAGTTCTTTCACTAATAACATGAATCTCAAAGATGTTATTTAGCTCTCTGAGCTTTAGAGTTTCCATTTGCAAAATAGTGAGAATTATCACATACCTTAAAACCTGAAGTAAAAAGGTGAGTTAAAGGGGGAAAAAGTATGGTGACACATGCCTATAAATTCAGCACCCAAGGGGCTGACAGGGAGGATCCTGTGAGTTAAAGACTGGGCTAACAGTGAGTTCTAGACCAACGTCGTCTAAAGAATGGGACTATCCCAAACTCAATAAATAAAAATCAAAGTAATACATTTAATGAAGCAGCATGGTAACATAGTGCTCAATACACATTTACAGACATGTTTATCATTTCTCCAGAAATCAATCTCTCCATTGGTAAATTGATAATATCAGCTCTCTTAACTCAGATTCACATTTAAGGGTTACACAGCACTCAAGATATCAAGATCACTGAGTCCACAAGTGGGGTAAGTTTCATAAGAGAGCCACAATGACAGCTGGTTATTGTCTACTCTACCCAATAATTTGCTTTGGGAACATCTTACACACTGTGTAGCCAGTTAGTTTCTTTAATGGTTTAAAGGGAAATTGTAACACAATAGTAAACAGCTATATTCAAATTTTATTTTTGTCACCTTCTTTAAGGTAACAAAAAGCTGTACAAAAATCACGAATTTCATCACACTCCAAACCTAGAAAAATCGAGTGAGTGCTAGGTGAGTTATTTTAGAAGCACTCCTTTCCTATCAGTTTTGTTTTTCTTTATTTCTTTTTCTTTTCTTTCTTTTTTTTTGGGGGGGGGGTTTGAGACAGGGTTTCTCTGTGTAGCTTTGGAGCCTGTCCTGGAACTCGCTTTGTAGACCAGGATGGCCTCGAACTCACAAAGATCCACCTACCTCTGCCTCCTGAGTGCTGGGATTAAAGGTGTGCGCCACCACCGCCCAGCTTCCTATCAGTTTTAATGAAACTAAGGACAACTATGAAATTGACAGAACACAAATTTGAAGGTTATCACAATCTAAAAAATTACAGTGAAATGGAATTGTTGCAATGTAAGTCAAAATTATCACTCCTCTGCTCAGACAGCCCCCATTCCATGCAGAGTGCAGATATAGTCTTCAAGGCCCTGGCTGTTCTGTTTGCCTCTCTCCTTCGCTGGCCTTATCTCCTATAATTCCTTCATTTGCTAAATGCTACAAACACACTGTTCCTCTAACAGGACCAGCTCTGTTCCCTTCAAGGCCTTTATGATTGCTGTTCCCTTGCTCAGAACATTCAAAGGAATGGTAGACTTCCCATCATCTTTTAGCCTGCTTAAATATCATTAGTGTACCTGAAGTGGTTCCCCTGACCACTCTCTTTTGCAAACTGCAGTTTCTCTCAAGCCTCCTTTGCAGGTGCACTGTATGTATCCTGTAACATACAGGGTAACATAATTTTTTCTCTTATTGCTCATCAGAAACTTTCATAAAGGGACTGGTGAAATGGTTCGGTGGGTAAAGGTGCTTGACACCAAGCCTGATCTGAGTGCAAGCCTCAGGACCCACAGGTTGGCCTCTGACCTCTACAGGAGGGTATGGTACACATACATAAATAAATACGTGTAAAAAATGTATTTAAAGAAAATATCATGAGGGCAGATTTATTAATACTTAAGCAGTGCAAGAGAGAACAGGCACAGAGGCAACGATTAAATTCGTTTTAATGCATCACATTAGGCCATGTAATTCTTCTTCTAGGTAAAGGAAAATAATATTTTCACCACTGGAAGAATAAATGTCTGTGTCAAACACTGCTCACGTCCTACCTGCCCAGAACAGGACTGGGCTCTACAAAGTTTAAGCAAATTAAAACACAGTCCCTGCCGTTCGGGAGGTATGTGTAGGGAATAATAGAGAAATACTATTTATAGAAAAATAAAAATACGTAGGGAAGCCACAGGAAACCGACACGACAGCCTAAAGGAGTAGGGGCAAAGAGCGAAAACGCTAAAATGACAGAAAAGCTTACACATGCCTCTCAACTCTGATTAGTATAATTTGTCCTTACGGTTCTGGGACGTGCTTGCAATCCATATATACTATTTACTCACATCAGGTAGGCCGCAAAAAGTTTGTAACTATGGTGATGCCAATCATGATCTACTCAAGGTTTCACAAAGATCAATGACTTCTACAGCCCTCTATGTCAACTTCCGCTACCGAGAACCCCTTATTTGTGGGCCTGCGGGCTCAACCGCTACCTACAGGGATCAACACCCTCCCACTGGCGCTCACAGCCTAGGAGCCCAGCACCCTGAAAATCCCTTCCTGTGGCCCAGCAGGCACCGCCTCCGGAAAGCCGCCAAGTGGGCCCCGATCAGACCTGCGAGGAGCCGAGCCGAGGGAAGGGAACGCAGCTCGGGAGGGCCTCCCTCGGGGCTCCAGCCAGCGCACCTGTCTCTCCCCGGACCCCCGCAGCCGCCCGGGGGCCGAGGCTCCGCCGATTCTTTGTTAAGCGAGGCCGCGGTTCCTCCGCCCTCGCCAGGCCCCAGTTACCTCCCGTGCCCCCGGGGCTAGCGGCCCCGCGTCCCGAAAGCCCTTACCACAAACCTGCTGCTGCGGCTCCAGATGCTGCTGCGACTGCGGTCGGCGCGAAAGAACCCCACGGCCCTGAGTACGCGCGGAGCGGGGCCGCGTCCAGCAGCGCTCCTCCTCCTCCGCCCCCTTCGCCGCCGCCTCACGGCCCGTTGCTGACTGGAGGGGGAGGGGGACGCGCATCTGACATGCGCGCCGAGGAGGGCGCGAGCCGAAGGGTGTGGCTTGGGGCTACGGCTCCCGAAAGGCGCCAATTACGCCCGCCCTTCAGATTCCGGAATACGTCAGAGGCGCGTCACACACTCTGGACAGGCACCTGGTTCTGGATGAAGACTGTTTATGGCTCATGTTAAGAGAGTAGATCTGGGCCGAGCGGTGGTGGGATTCAACCCAGGACTCAGGAGGCAGAGGCAGGCGGATCTCTGAGTTCAGGGCCAGCCTGGTCTACAGAGCGAGTTCCAGGACAGCCACGGCTACACAGAGAAACCCTGTCTTGGAAAAAAAAAAAAAATAATAGATCTGGGATGAAGAGAGCGGAAGTGACAAGGCACTGCTCAAAAAAATCCAAGATCAAAGGAAGTTGACCGGAAATGTTATTTACATAAGAATGTGGACCCTCCCTTAGCTCCTGTCCCTTGCAAAAACAAAAACGACTTGGGTTACATTTCCCTTCACGCCTCTGACCACATGGCCCCATAGAGAATGGCCACCTTTAGCTTCCGGAGCACCGGATCAAAGTGACGTCACCCTGACGGAGCCCTAGGAGAAACCCAGCCTCCGATAGAGCACTTCTAGGCCCCGGGGCGGCGAAGGTTACGTAATTTTCCCAGCAGCCCAACCTCGCCTTGCGCTGTCCTTAAGGCCGCGCCCGGCCCCCACTCCGCGCGCAGGCGCAGACCAGCCGTACGCATTCTACGTAACGGACGGCTGAAGCTACGTGAAGTGCAGAGTGCGGTGACTGAGCTACCTGTTCTGGGCTGTGTCCCAGTGACATCGCGGTCCGCAAAAATCTTTGCGACCTGAAGGCGGAGGCCAGACACAGGCAGGCTGGGTGGAGGTGGTGGCCTCAGAAGCCCCAGGCCGGGTTGCAGCCTCAGGTGCAGGTAGGTAGCGGGCCTTTGACATGCTAGTCGGTGTGGCCGAGCCAGGCCGAGCGGTGACTAAGTTGCGTGGCCGCAGAACCAGGTACTGTTTCTCACCTAACTAACCCTTTATGTCTGGCTGGTGGTGACATGCATCAATCCTCGCAAGTTATCTCTCCCGAATTAAAAAAAAAAAAAGATTAAACTTCTGTCCATCTTTTTCTGGTCCATTTTTCTGTTGGACTTTAGGAGGGTTTGGGGTCTTCTGAGTGGCTTTGAGCAAATTCCAAATCAGCTGAACAAAATCTGAGAAAATTTCTGGTGTGCAGCGGAAGAATGGAGCATAGACACTGGGCTTCTCCATGGTGGTGGAGGTAGGACCAGACACGAGAGGTTTGGCAGAAGCAGCCACTTCTAGAGTCGACCTTAGCTGAAGGCTTCTAACATTCAACTTGTTTGTAGCCAACACTTTGAAAGAAGACAGGAATGTCTACATCGTTTCTAGAAACTTCATCGTTTTGACTAATGCCATAAAGACCGAAAGGACGAGCAATGATAGCTTCACTCACCCGTTTTTTTTTTAAGTCTGGAGTCAAGTGGTTGAGAGACTACTGAGTGAGCTTGCCCAAGATAATCAGACAGGCATGTTAATGCTTGTGCATGGCCTGGATTCTTGTGTTTTCTGCTTCAGAAGTCCTAGAGGCTGGGTGACCTGGCAGAGAGTTGTGCATTTGAGAAATAGGTCGACAGGTGCTGCTGAGTCTTATTAGAAGGGAAGCCAGTGCACAAATGCCTTGGATAATTTTAACTTAAATAACCCTGAGGGAGCCTGGTTGTATGAATTGCACTAGAAATACTTCTGTGAAGCCGGGCGGTGGTGGTGCCCGCCTTTAATCCCAGCACTTATCCCAGGGAGGCAGAGGCAGGTGGATCTCTGGGTTCTGGGCCAGACTGATCTACAAAGTGAGTTCTGGGACAGCCAGGATTAAACAGAGAAACCCTGTCTTGAAAAACAAAAAAAACAAAAAAAAAAAAAAAAAAAAAAAAAAAGAGAGAGAAAGAAAAAAGAAAAATACTTCTGTGTTGTGAACATTCTGGGTATAGATTCAGCTTGAAATGACCGGACCTTTTGGGAGTCTGTTAATCAAGCTGACGATGGTAAGTAGTTACTTCTACTTGAAAAGGGGAACACTAAAGCAGAAGCTTTGTGTTTTGAGACAGTGTCTCACTCTTGCAGGCTGGCTTAAAACTCACTATGTAGGGCAGGGCAGGCTGGCGGAACTCCGGGTAGTCTAGTGCTGGAGTTACAGGATTGAGCCACTACACCCTGCTGCTCTCTTTCTTTCTTTCTTTTTTTAAATATAGGATCTAACTATGTAGTCCTGGCTGGCCTTGAACTCGGGCATCTGCCTGCCTCTGACTCCTGAGTACTGGGATTAAAGGCGCCCCGTCCTACCAGCCCTCTGGAGTTTTTGAGACAGGGTCTCATGAAGCCTGGACAGACCAGGAACACTATGTAGAGGAGGATGCCCTTGAACTTTGATCCCCCTGCCTCAGACTCTCAAGTATTGAGATTATAGGAGTGTGCCACCACACCCAATTTTATATAGTGTTAGTATCATCCCAGGTACTCTACCAACAAGTTACATACCCAGTCTCCCTTGTAACATTTTAAAATTACATTCATTCATTCATTGGGGTGAGAAAAGAAGGGAAGTATACCACTGTGTGAACCTAGAGGTCAGAAGACTTGGTTTTGTCCTTCTGCCATGTGGAGCCCAAGGGTAAAACTCGGGTCCTTAGGCTTGTTGGCAAGCCTTTACCCACCAAGCTGTCCCGTCAGCCCGCCCTTTTGTAACAAGAAAATACGGTTTGGATGTTACACCCATAGTTTAATCATCAGTACTAATACGCTCACACATATCCATCAGTGCCCTGTCAGTAATACTCTCACAGTATCCATCTTTTAGACTAAATGTCTATGCTTAAAAATAGATTTTGTTGTCGGGGCGGTGGTGGTGCACGCCTTTAATCCCAGCACTCTGAGGCAGAGGCAAGTGGATCTCTGTGAGTTCAAGGCCCGCCTGGGCTACAGACCGAGTTCCAGGAAAGGTGCAAAGCTATACAGAGAAACCCTGTCTCAAAAAAAAGGAAAAAAAAAGATTTTTTTTTTCTGGTTTTTTTTTTGGGGGGGTGGTTTGGGTTTTTTTTTTTTTTTTTTAGATAACTAAAGATACAGCTGGTGTTTAGATGAGGGTGCAGAATTGAATTGAAAACATAGTATAAATGATTTTATTGGTTGAATTTTTTTTGTGTTGTCTTCTGAGATTTCATGCAAAATTAATACTCTTTGGATGAGCCCATTCTGTCACTTAGTAGTTGTATTGATTAACATCTCCATTGCATCTTTTTCTGTATTTAAGTATTCACACTTGTGATGATCATAGTGATGTTTATCCGGGAGAGCATGTCTTCAGGGCAAACATACAAACACACCAATCTGTAGGTAAATGGCTTTCTTTTTCAGTGCCGAGGGTGACGCCAACAGCTTTATGTATGTCAGAAGAATGTCTACAAGCTTCATCTCAGCCCTAGTGTTCTCAACCCATGGATTATTTTGAAACCATTTATATATAAATAGTTGTATCTTATTATTCCTCTGAACTCCTTAATTCTTTTAGAAAGGTTTTAATAGTCTCTCAAAAATACTTTTTTGGGGGGGAAGAAAAGCCCATGGAATATAAGAACAGAAAAAGGATTTTGGAGACTCAAACCTAAAGAAATCAATAACTTGTACACATTTTAACAGATAACTAACTGCTGACAGGATCTGAATAGACCCCATACCAAAGCCTCACCTCATTGTTTTTTTGGTTTTTTTTTTTTTACATAGTATTTTCTGAATCCAAGAATATTGAGAACGGGCGGCGACGGTGGTGGCACATGCCTTTAATCCCAGCACTCAGGAGGCAGAGCCAGGCGGATCTCTGTGAGTTTGAGTTCAGCCTGGTCTACAGAGCAAGATCCAGGACAGGCACCAAAACTACACAGAGAAACCCTGTCTCGAAAAACCAAAAAAAAAAAAAAAAAAAAAAAAAAAATTGAGAATTGAGAAAGAGAAACTCAGGAGGCATTTGTGAGATTGGGTTTTTTATTTTTTGTTGTTGTTCTTTAAGACAGGGTTTCTCTGTAACAGCTTGGGCTGTTCTGGAACTTGTTCTTTAGACCAGGTTGGTCTTGAACTCAGAGATCCACCTGCCTCTGCCTGCTGAGTGCTGGGATTAAAGACATGTACCACCACACCACTTCCCGGTGATTGTTTTGTTTTTTAATTAAGGGTCAACCTGTAGGTTGGTCTGGCCTCAAGCTCAGTATGTAGCCAAGACTGGCCATAGACTTCTGATCCTCTTTCTACCACCCAAGTACTGGGATTACAAGTAGGTACCAGCACACCTAGCTGGTTTGTAGATTACGAACAATTTACAAAATATGTTAATCATGAATGTGGAATGGTAGTTCACTTAGCACACACACTCTCTGTCTCTCACAGCGTACTTTTTAAGACGCAATGAGAGCCTTCTATGCTTTCTGTGTGGTCCTTTTGGTGTTTGGGCGTGTCTCCGAAGCCAAGTTCGATGATTTCGAGGATGAGGAAGACATAGTAGAGTATGACGATAATGACTTCGCTGAGTTTGAGGATGTCATGGAAGACTCTGTTACGGAATCTCCTCAGCGAGTGCTAAGTACTGAAGATGATGAAGATGAGGCCACTGTGGAGTTGGAAGGGCAGGACGAAAACCAAGAAGGAGATTTTGAAGATGCAGATACCCAGGTAGGGGTTTGGTTTAAGACTGATTTATTTGTTTGTTTACTTATTTATTTGGTTTTTCGAGAAGAGGTTTCTCTATGTGGTCCTGGCTGTCCTGGAACTCACTCTGTAGACCAGGCTGGCCTTGAACTCACAGAGATCCACCTGCCTCACCAGGTGGATTTATTTTTATTGTATGTGCCTGAGTGTTTTGCCTGCATATAAGTGTACTGTGTGCACTAAGTGTACTGTGTGCACACCTGGTTCCCCTGAAGGCTGGAGGAGAGAAGTGGATCCTTTGGGCCTAAGCAGACATGTGGGTTCTGGGAACCAAATCCAGGTCCTCTGCAAGGGCAGCCAGTGCTCTTCATTTATGAGATGTTTCTCTAGTTCCACCAAACAGGGTGCTTATTGATTTACTGGAAAATCCAGCCGATGGAAAAATTTATTAGTGTTTTTCTCAAACAAAAACCCAAATATAGGGAGACTTTTGCTCTCTGGAATTTTCATTTTTGTTCAGTTAGAGCTCTTCTAGTTTATTCTCTCTCTCTCTCTCTTTTTTTTTTTAAGATAAGGTCCCCCTCTGTAGCCCTGCTGTCTTGGACCTGGCTTTGTAGACCAGGCTGGCCTCAACCTCACAGAGATCTGTCTTGTCTCTGCCACGCTAGTGCTGGGATCAAAGGTGTACACCATCACTACTCAGCTCTTCTAAAGATTTTGTGGTGTGTTCCTACCTTGATAAAGCATTGTGTTTTCTGTAGTTACTGTAGTAGATAAGATCTGAACTGAGGATACATAATATATGAATGAGAATTTAGAACTTTGGTATAACAAACTATTTATTCATGCTGTATATTATCTCATTTTGTTTATTTTTGAGAAAAGATCTCACTTGTGTTTTGTTTTTCTTTTTACCATATTTTACTGTGTGTGTACTTTGAAGAATTAATACAATCAGGCTAATTAACATACTCATCATCCACATAGTTTTTTATGTGTAGTAAGAAGTAGTGAGAAAACAGGGACAAGGTTTATTCTGTTAGAAAAATTTTTTTCTGGATTTTTTTTGTTGTTGTTTTTTTTTTTTTTTTGAGGCAGGGTTTTACTATATAGTCCTGACTGTCCTCGAACTTGCTATGTAGACCAGGATGGCCTCAAAATCACAGAAATCCACCTGCTTCCCAAGTGCTGGGATTATATGCACTTGCAACCGCACCCAGCTCTTTTACAAAATTTCAAATATGAAATGTGTTACTAAGTATTACCATACGTGTTAGTTTTCTGGAACTTACATATCTTATGCCTCAAAGTTTGATATTTTGCTAAAAGCATTTTATATCTCTGTGTTCTGTACTTGTTGCCTACTAGTTATGTTTTCCTTCACAAATGTTACCCCCCAAAGTGAGACACAACTGCTGGTGCCGTTTGTAGACATGACTGTGCTTTGTTTTTATAGGAGGGAGATACTGAAAGTGAGCCATATGATGATGAAGAATTTGAGGGTTATGAAGACAAACCAGATACCTCTTCTAGCAAAAACAAAGACCCAATAACAATTGTTGATGTAAGTATATAAGGTTCCAAATTCCAAACTAAGCATTATTTCCATAACTGTAATCCATGACATACGGTGGGTATTGAAATAATGGTGCAATCTAATAAAGAGCTTAACATGAATTCTGATAAGCATCCATTGCTATGAAGCAGTTCCCAAGCTGTAGTCTAGCCCTCCCACTTTTACTTAATTCAAGTAGTATAAGTGGACGACATTGGACGTGCTCTGGCAAGTGACTGACCTAGAGCTAGGTGGTGGTGACAGCAGCACACGCCTTTGGTCCCAGCACTCTGGAAGCATAGGCAGGCAGATCTCTGAGTTCCGAGTTCTCTGGTGTGCAAATCAAGTTCCAGGACAGCTAGGGCTACAGAACCCTATCTCAAAGAAACAAAAACAAAAACATGCAAAAACAAAATAAATAAAAAGCTGACCTAGAAGATCAAAATAGGCATATTTTTTGAAGTGTAACTTTTTTGTTGTTGTTTAAAAGATTTTATGTGTGGTAGTGTTTTGTCTGCATGTATGTTAAGTGCATCATGAGCATGCCTGCTGCCCTTGGAGGCCAGAGGCAGCATCAGGTCCCCTGGAACTGGAATAGAGATGGTTATAAGTTACCATATGAGTGCTGGGAACTGAACCTGTGTCCTCTGCAAGAGCAGCCAGTGCTCCTAACCATTGAGTCTTCTCTCCAACCACTAAAGTGTAACTTTTTTTCCAGTGACAGTAATATAAAGTATCCACTTCTGTTGGTGAGCTTTCTCATTTTTTTCATCCATTATTTAGACTCCATGTTCAGTCTCAGCCAACATTAAATGGGATTTTTTCTTTCTTAAGGTCCCTGCACACCTCCAGAACAGCTGGGAGAGTTATTATCTAGAGATCCTGATGGTGACTGGTCTGCTTGCCTATATCATGAACTACATCATTGGGAAGAATAAAAACAGCCGACTTGCTCAGGCCTGGTTTAACTCGCATAGAGAGCTTTTGGAGAGCAATTTTACCTTAGTGGGTAAGTTAAGCCGATTACGAGTCCAGCGGTCTGCATGGGAACAGGCTGGTAAGAACAGTTTGTCCCCTCAGCAGAAATACCTAAATGCTTTCACAGACTGCTGACTACAATGTGTTTGTTTTCTCCAAGAATTCCATAAATATATAAGTTCATCATTTTTCATTAGTCAATAGTATAATTGCTAAATAGCTTTGAATACAGTCAGTGTGAAAAGAAGATGTTAAAGTTCTGGTTAAAACAAGGAACTTTGTCATTTTAGGTAGTTTGATAAATAATTTCGGTTGGAGTTTTAGAACAGGGAAATCCCTCACAATTTCCTAAGTTCTGGGTACTTTGATTTTACTTGCACAGATGAGATATACATGAAATCTGTAGAGTAGCTAGCTGTGTGGTGTGGATTGTGAGGTTAAACTCTCTTCACACTCACTTAGCACTTTATATCTTCTTAGTAATAAGCTCCCTTCCATCTGCTGTTTATGCACATTTTAGTATGTACTTTACATGCATTGCGTTTGGTTGTTTTAATTGTTTTTTAAATTATTTTGTTACTAATTTATTTATTGGAAGTGGACAGGAATGCTTGTGACAGAGGAAAGCAGGGAAAACAGCTTGTGAGAATCAGTTCTCTCCTTCCACATTTGGTCCTGGATTCAGGTCATCAGACTTGGTAGCCAGTGCCGTCACCACCTGAGCCATCTTGCTGGTCCATTATGTAGCTCTGACCAGGCTTGGACTGCCTTGTAGGTCAGTCAGGCTTTCCTCAAACTCACAGAGATTCTCCTGCCTCTGCCTCCCTAGTGCTGGAATTAAAGCCATGCACTATTAAGTTAGGCCTCACATGTTCTTTTTTTTTTTTTTTGTCACATTGTTTTTTAATTGCTTTTTGTTGTTGCAACACTGTTAATGGGATGTAGTTTTCATTCTTGTTATAAAGAAACTAATGTTAAAGTTTATCTAAGGGGTTAAATTGCAACCATATTATTAGAACTATCTACCTGTTTACCAGTGGATGCTCTCCTCCCTGTTCCATAGTTTTTTAGGGTATTTTTGATCTGGGAATTGGATGGGGGTGGTGGGGAAGCATTCTTTGGCTCATTGCCCTCCCTCTTCTTCATGCCAGAGTCCATAACTTTTTTTATGGAGACAATAAAGAGTTTTAAAAGTAAAAAGAAGTCCCACCTCTACTAGCCTGTGCATCAACCCTCAGCACCCCAGCACATTGGCCTAGCAGATGACAAAGAACCAGTCTGTATCCTTGATGCCCACCATCTTGGTGCCTGCTGTGCACTGGTAGCGATGGCAGAGACCATTCTCTCAGCTCTCTCCATAAAGTCACAGAGAAACATGAATGGATAGCAACGTAAAATGGTGGAACGGTGGAAATCGGTAATTTTGCACAGGAAACTTTGGGAGTTGTTTGCTGTAGTCTTCCTGAAGTTCGTATAAAATTGAAATAAAATAATGATTTTGGTGATTTGGAATGTGTGGAAACTGCCATTGAACTCTCCTCTGTCAGAAGTAATTGGAATTAATGAAGCTCACACAGAAAATCCAGGCCCTTACATACAAATCTTGTTATGAAGATGGTTGGCTGAGAGATGACACTGAATATGTCTTCAAGACTAAATGAATTAATGTGTGAAGAAGCAGATGGTAAATTTATACGTAAATCTATTGAGGCGTGAGCCCTTTAGAATAATACTGAAGTAAAAGCCATAGTGCCGTCCTTTAATCCCTCTCAGAGGAGATTCTCTGAGATAGCAAGCGTTGCTCTCCTAAAGTGATCCGAAGGTCCAGGGAATCAGATTCAGTGCTTTTACTCCTAGGGGATGATGGGACTAACAAAGAAGCCACAAGCACAGGCAAGTTGAATCAGGAGAATGAACACATCTATAACCTGTGGTGTTCTGGTCGAGTGTGCTGTGAAGGCATGCTTATCCAGCTGAGGGTAAGTAGGGAACCTGGTCCCACATTTGTATCTTTCCTTAATTTTTTTTTTTTTTTTTTTTTTTTTTTGGTTTTTCGAGACAGGGTTTCTCTGTGTAGCTTTGCGCCTTTCCTGGATCTCGCGCTGTAGACCAGGCTGGCCTCGAACTCACAGAGATCCGCCTGCCTCTGCCTCCCAAGTGCTGGGATTAAAGGCGTGCGCCACCACCGCCCGGCCAATTTTTTTTTTTTTAATGTGACTGCTAATATAAATTTAGTGCTTCATTCTTCCTTGTTTGATTTGAAATAAGGTCTGAGCATTATATTTCTAGTAGTTGTCAAATGAAGCGTTTGAGTCCCCTCCAAGGTCCTTCTGTAAGTGTAAGCTGCAAGGTATTGACTCATTTCTCTCATTTTTTTCAGTTCCTTAAAAGACAAGATTTACTTAATGTCCTGGCCCGGATGATGAGGCCAGTGAGTGATCAAGTGGTATGTATTCCTGCTGCTTTTCTTGGTATAAACTGAGTTATTTTCTTAGCTATTCCATTTCTGTTTGGATTGTGTTTGGAACTCCTGGCAGTTTGTGTCCATGGCAGAAAATGTGTGCTTTTCTACCTAAGCAGGTCAGGGTTCACGTGTCGGGAGGCCTCCACTTGCTCTTTTTAGGAAGGAGATAATGTCTGTCACCACTTGTAACCGCTGGATTATCCTTACTGGAGAGAACAGTTGCCCATATAGTGTGCCCTGGTATCTGGTTCTCCTTGTGTATACTTTGCTTGATTTTTTTTTTTTTTTTTGGTTTTTCGAGACAGGGTTTCTCTGTGTAGCTTTGCGCCTTTCCTGGAACTCACTTAGTAGTCCAGGCTGGCCTCGAACTCACAGAGATCCGCCTGGCTCTGCCTCCCGAGTGCTGGGATTAAAGGCGTGCGCCACCACCGCCCGGCTTTGCTTGATTTTTTAAAACTTACCTATGTGTGTAAATATGGGCGCATGCATACCAGGGTACATGGGTGGAGGTCAGAGGACAGCTTTTGGGAGTCGGTTCTCTCCTTACATCTTGGGGTCTGGGGATCAAATTCAGGCCTCCAGGCTTGCATTGCGAGCAGCACATTTTAAGCCATCTCATCTCACCAGCCCCAGGAATACTTGTGTCTTTGACAAAACACTAGGTTTCTTCTTAAAGTTTATTTTGTTTTAGGTCTTTTTTTGGTTTTGTTTTGTTTTTAAAACATCAAATGATTCATTTTGGTTGAAAGAGCTCAAATCACAATCTAGGTTTTTGGGTGTACGGTCTTCCATTTATTAAATGAATATTCATCTGCAAATTGTGCCCTCTGTCAAAAATGTTTCCTGTCTCTCTCCCAAAGAGAGAGACCACAGACAGGATTGCTGTTTTTGCTTTTTTTTTTTAAATTATTTTCTTCTGGATTCTGAAATTTCCTGTGAATACAGAAGAACAGAAATCTTTTTTCTTTTTCTTTTTTATTATAGCTGCCATTTACCAGGTCTTTCCCTACATTAGTATTACCCCCTTTTTTTAAAAAAAGATTTAAAATTTTTATGTGTGTGTGTGTGTGTGTGTGTGTGTGTGTGTGTGTGTGGCCTGCATGTCTGTCTGTGAACCACATGTGTGTCCAAGGAGGTCAGAAAAGGGAGCTGGACCCCGTGGAACGAGTTACACATGGTTATGAACTACTATGTGGGTACTGAGAACTGAACCTGTGTCCTCTGTAAGAGCATCAAATGCTCCTAACCACTGAGCCATCCATCTCTAGCTCCACATTTTCCTTCTTCCACATACTGAGAATTTGGCCCAACCATTAAGAAATACAATTAGTATAACTAGAACCATGTTTTATCATATCAGACTTCTTGGGTTTATAACACTGCCTGTTCCTATGCAGAATATTAAGAATTATTTACTTGTATAAGGATGTTTTCCAACAATGGCCAGTTCTTGGAGTCTCTAGACACAAGCTGGGATCCAACAATTCAGTCCTGACACTGCTTGAAATTAGCTTTAGGTCCCATAGGTTGAAGGATTCAGCCCCCCCACCCCCCCATTATCCCTACTTTTAAGGAAATTTCAAATCCCAGGCCACCCATACCATGTACACTTTTGGCTGATCACCTATGAATTGAGGGTTCCCATCACCTCCCTCCAGGTTGAATAATTTAGTAGAATGATTCACAGAATTCAAGAAAAACTTTGCTTAAATTTACTGACTTATTAAGGACACAACTCAGCAATAGCCAATTTAAAAAAAAGAGGGGATGCGAAGCATAGTGGTACACGACTGTAATCCCAGCATTTGTGAGGCAGAGGCAGGCGGATCTCTGAGTTCCAGGCCAGCCTCATCTACAGAGAGAGCTCCAGTCTGGCCAGAGCTGCACAGAGAGACACTGTCAAAAAGGGAAGGAGGTATGTGGAGCTTCTTTGTCTTCTCCAAACATGCCACCCTTTTAACAGATTCAAAAGTTTACAAATATGGAAGCTTTCTGAATGTGGTTCAAGGGTTTCTGTACTGCAGAGCTCATTGCTCCTTCCCACAAGGGCCCTAAGTAGGGCTGAAAGGTCCAGCTCTCAGCCTTAGTGTTATCTCATGTTCAGCCCCATTCCTGAAGTCGTGTGGAGACTTTACATTAGCGCCAACTCAGGTTGATTGAAAGGGGTTCCCAATAAATAGTGAAGCTTACTGAAGGTTTTATCTTTGTGCCAGGAACCTGAGGCAAAACCCAGATATAATTCTTACACTTTTGGTTGTGAGCCTAGCCTTTACCATTGAGCCATCTGTCCATACCCCAGATATAATTCTTATATCTCACTGTCCATTTGGATCCTGTTTATTGCTGACTTTTGTATTTGACTACTCAGTATGAACCGACATTAGTGTTGTGTTTCTTCATAACAAATTGCCACAAAACTGAACAACTTAAAACAGTACCATTTGGGATTTGAGAAATGGCTCAGCAGTTGGGAGCACTGGCTAATTTTCTAGAGTGCCCGGGTTTGATTCCTAGCACTGACACCCATCTCATAACCATCTGTAACTCTAGTTCCAGGGGATCCAGTGCCCTTTTCTAGCCTCCATGGGTGCTGCACACACATGGTGCACAGATATGTATGCAGGCCAACACTCATCCACATAGGATAGAAATAAGAAATCTTTTTCTGTTTCTTTTTTGAAACAGTCTCACTGTGTAGACCAGGCTGACCTCAGACTCACAGACATCTGCCTACCTCAGCCTCCTGAGTGCTGGGATTAAAGGCATTATGTCCCCATGCCCAGCAAAATTAAAAAAATTTTTTTTGAGACCTTGTCTCAAAAACAAAAGCAAAACTAACAAACAAACCAACACCATTTATTATTTCACAGTATCGATACACGAGTGGTCCAATGTAGGTTAGCCGGGTACTCTACTTAGTTCTGTGAGGCTGAAAACAGTGTGAACCAGGCTGTGTTTCCTTCTTCACAAGCTCATTCAGATTTTTGTCAGAATTCAGTCTCTTGTATTTATTTATTTATAGGTACCTATTTTCTCGGTATCTGCCAGCTGGGAATTACTCAGGTCTTGGGGGCATTACCCTCAGGTCTTTATAACCCATCCCTTGATGCTCACTTTTGCCCCAAAGATTCCCTTCTTCTGCTAGGGCCCAGTTACTTTTCATATCTTGCTGGATTATGTGTAATACCTAAGACAATGCCCCTTTCTGTTAATTTGAATCAACAGATTAGGAGTCTTCTGCCATTATATCTGAATCCTGCTCAAGGGGAAAATATATATGGCAGAAGACTGAACTCTTCAGAGCTGTTTAGAAATCTATCCATCATAGAACCTAACAAATCTTGTTTTTGTTTTCTTTTTACAGCAAATAAAAGTAACTATGAATGATGAGGACATGGATACATATGTGTTTGCTGTTGGCACTCGCAAAGCTTTGGTACGACTGCAAAAAGAGATGCAGGATCTGGTATGTCCAGTTGCTGGATTGCAAATGTGTGTAGACACTGCTTCTTTTTCCTTTTTGAATGAGTCAACCACCCAGTATGATGAATGAATGTAACTTAGCGGCTGTGCTGTGGGGGGTTTATTTGGAGCATTGTGTGCTTTCCTACCCATGTCCTGCAAGGGCAGGGAACAAAAGCAACAGAAAAAATACAGTCTGTAACTACCACTAAGGGGAAAGGCTCTGGGAAAGAGCTTGGTGACCTTAGTCCTCCAGGTCTTCTTCATCCTCCTCCTCATCATCATCCTCTTCCTCAGAGGCTGCCAGGGCCTGCTCCTGTGCAGCCTTCAGGGCCTGCTCCTCCTCCACCATGGGGTCACTCATCTCCATGATCTCAGGGCCACTGAGGTATTCCTGCTGAATCGGAGCTGGCAGGGATGGGTTGAAGTTCTCAGGGCTGTACTTGTGACCCCAGCCAATATAGAGGTTCTCAAACTTCTTGCCAATGGCGTAGGCATAGGCCCCTGGCCAGAGGTTGGAGCACCCGATGGCCACCAGTACTGCGGGCTGAGGCTGCAGGAGATGCAGGTGGTCCAGGGTGACAGGTGCATGATTTCTGCATCTTCCGAGAGAGGAGTCAGAAGAGGAGGACTGACATCCTGCTCCACCTCCTCCATCCCCTTGTCCGCCTTCTCTTCTTCCTCCCCTAACTCCTCCTCCTCCTCCTCCATCTTCTGCATTGGGTTCACCCACGTACAGCGGCCCTGAGGCAGGATGTGCTGCGTGTGATGTACCCAGTTGGCCATGGAGTCCATGAGCTCCAGCACTGAGATGCCCTCAAAATCGGGGTTCTCCTGGAACGAGTCGCACCCCACGCAGCCTCATTGCCCTCCTCCTCGCCGAACTGGTAGAAGCCCAGCGGGCTGATGACACAGCCTCTTTATTACAAAGAAGTTCAGCTTTGTAGTACAGCACAGTTCTGTCTCTCAGGTGTTAAGTACCACTTCAAAATAGGTAGTACATACCTAACCTTTTGGGGAAAAAAATTTGTAATAAAATACTATGCTTCATGTTTTTATTTTCTTCCAGAGTGAGTTTTGTAGTGATAAACCTAAGTCTGGAGCAAAATATGGACTGCCAGACTCTTTGGCCATTCTGTCAGAAATGGGAGAAGTCACAGAAGGAATGATGGATACAAAGGTAAATACAATAAAAGATTCTGTGCATAGTGCACATCTGTAATGGCAGCTACTCTAGGCAGGAGGATCATGAGTTTCAGACCAGGCTAGGTAGTACAGCTAGAGACTCTGTCTCCAAAAGAATAAATAAATAAAAATCAAATACTAAATTTTATTTTACTTTTTTGAAACAACAGGTAAATAATCTGTGACTACAGATCATTCATGGTAAACATTTTCTGTGAGACTTATAGTCATCTAACTGATTTTGATAAATTGGGTAAACAGCCTTTGCTTGTACTAAAAACAGTAGCAAAGCAACACCATTTTAATGAGGCATTGGCTAGCTGTCGTGTTGAGAGGGTCGTCTTCCTGAAGCTGGGTCAGGTCTTCTCTGGTGCCGTACACTAGTCACAGTTATGTATTCCTTCCTCACACTGACATAACTGGTCAGAGGACTGTCAGTCCAGGAGACAGCTTGCCAGTTAGCAATGTGCAATCTTAAGGACTCTAGTGTGTATCTCAGCATCAAATTTGCCTAACGAGCCAAGTGTCCCATCACTCCAGCTTTGAGAGAGAGAGATGGCACTCACTGGCTTCCCTGGGTGCACCGTGCTCACACACTCATACACACACACACACTCACTCACAGTAAAATAAAAAGTTCTCTAGAAGAACTAATGACTTTCAAGCTTTCAAGGTTTTTGTTTTGTTTTTTTGAGATGGAGTCTCACCATGTAAGCCCTGGCTAGCCTGGAACTCAAAGAGATCTGCCTGCCTCTGTCCACTGGATGCTAAAATTAAAGGTGTGCGCTACCACTCCAAGCCAACTTTCAAGTATTTTAGTGGTTTTTTTTGTTGTTGTTGTTATTGTTGTTTGTTTTGTTTTAAAAATTACAGCCTTAATCCTTTGATGGTGTTATTTAGTCATTCATGAGTTTAGTTTGTCTAAGTAAAGGTGAGCACGCAGGGCAGGCACTTGTGATCTGTCATGAGTGGCTAAGGCCGGAGGATGGCTGCAGAGAACCGTTCCTTTTTTGTTTTTTTGTTTTTTCAAGACAGATTTTCTGTGTAACAGCCCTGGCTGTCCCAGAACTTACTTTGTAGACCAGGCTGGCCTCGAACTCAGAGAGATCCGCCTGCCTCTCCCTCCTGAATGCTGGGATTAAAGGCGTGCGCCACCTCTGGCCAAGAACCATTTCTTTAAGCTGAAGGTAAGGGCTGAATTGATGGCTCATTAGGCAATTCTGGTTTTTTGGTTTTTTTTTTTCTTTTAAGAAAAAGGTATTTTAGTCTGAATGACATTTTATAAAAATAAGAATTAAAAGGTAAATATCTGTAAAAGCTTGGAAACGCACCAAACTCTAGTTAATATTCTTTTTTTTTTTCGTTTTTCAGATGGTTCACTTTCTTACACACTATGCTGACAAGATTGAATCTGTCCATTTTTCAGACCAGTTCTCTGGTCCAAAGATTATGCAAGAGTATGTATGACATACAAGTATTAAAATTCATCTTCCTTATTGGTTCTATGTTGGAATACCACAAAGTGCCTCTGCAGTTTCTTTACCAAGTGGGAAAGTGAAATTGGTAATGAATGTCCTTCCACCTAGTGCGGCATGAGAAGCCACTGGCAGCCTCCTTGACCCAGCATGCTTGCGTCACTGACCCAGTGACCTTCAGAAGGAAGGGCTGGTGCTAAGAAATTGCAGCTGGTCCACCCTTCACCACATCTAAATTTGTGATGTTTGACTTTAAATACAAATCTATGTATTTTGTATTTTATCGCCTTGTCTCACTTCCCTTTTGAATACCTGGGTGTGTTTTTAAATGACTTCAGTGCCCCTGGTTTCTGGTTTACAGCAGTATTGTTCAGGTGTACAGTATTGTTCATGGTTTGGGCTTGAATCTGTTGCTGGATTTGCAGCCAGTCTCTGGAAAGCATAGCTAAATCTCCTTCTGATAGAGAATGGGCTCTGACCTGATTATTAGTCGCAGGCTACTCTCTATACTACTCTATGGGGTTGAGTATAACTAAAGCCATTCTGGACCAGGTGTGGTGGTACGGGTCTTTGATCGCAGCTTTCAGAGGCAGGAACAGAAGGAGCTCTGAGTTCATTCTGGGAGCTATGGGGTTCATTTCCCAATACCAGAATAAGAGTAGCAGTAACAGAATGTATTTTGGATTTAGTTGTGTGGAGATTACTCAGGTCCTTATGCTTCGAGATGATGTTACATCATCCTCGCCTTGCTAAACTTAGTAACAACACCAGGGACAAAATATTACATTGTAGCTTTCTCAAGCGTCTGGTTGGGGGTGGAGCAGAAGTCAATTGTTTGATAGTCAAAATTTGCAATGAAATGACAGAACAAAATTATAAACAGTGCTCACTCCAAATCCATGAGGGATTTTTGGTTGGATAACCCCCACCATACCAAAGTCTCAGGATGCTTGAGTCTCTCCTACATAAAGTGATGTGTTTGCAGTAACATACATAGCCTTTTTCACAGGAAACCATCTGTGGATTCTTGTAATACCTGAATTACAATTACTAAGTGCTATTAAGTAATTGTTAAACTGTATACCTCAACTTTTAAAGAATAATGACCAAGAAAAAAGAGAAAGTTGGGGGTTGGAGAGCTGACTTGTGCTTAAGAGTGTATTGCTGCCGGGCCATGCACGCCTTTAATGCCAGCACTCAGGAGGCAGAGGCAGGTGGATCTCTGAGTTCGAGGCTAGGCTGGGCTACAGAGTGAGTTCCAGGAAAGGTGCCAAAGCTACGCAGAGAAACCCTGTCTCAAAACTCCCCCCCCCCAAAAAAAAAAAAAGTGTATTGCTTATGCAGAAGACCAGGGATCAGGGCTTGGTTCCCAGCTCACTCATGGAGTCTAAAAACCATTCTAACCCCAGTTGCAAGAGATTTGACACCCTTTTCTGGCCTCCATGGGAATTGCATACATACATACATGCAGGCAAAACTCATACACAAAATAAATACAAATTTAGAAATTAAAAAATTAAGCAAAAGTATTTAAAATATGGCCTCATATTTAAATATAGGCATATTTCTGGCTCCCTGGGTGGAAGGGAAAATATCTTGCCACTGGAGACATCCCTGGAGGGGTGCAGATGTAGCACAGAGTGGGCTAGATGACTGTCAAGTGCCTCAGGCTCTTTGATCACTGTTGACTTAGAGATGCAGAGTACATACAGTGCTGTTATTAGCGGGTATCTGCCCAACTGAGTCAGATGGGTGGCTTGTGTGCATGGAAAGTGCCTTTGCATGTTTGTTCTCTCTTACCAAACTTCTCTTTCATGACAGGGAGGGCCAGCCTTTAAAGCTGCCTGACACCAAGAGGACACTACTGTTTACATTTAACGGTGAGTATTCTGGGTCCTGTCTGGCTATTCTTAGCTTCCTCGAAAATGTTTTTGAGATTGCTTTTCCTTCTGAAAGAATAGCTCTAAAACTACAGCATTGCGCCGGGCGGTGGTGGCGCACGCCTTTAATCCCAGCACTCGGGAGGCAGAGCCAGGCGGATCTCTGTGAGTTCGAGGCCAGCCTGGACTACCAAGTGAGTTCCAGGACAGGCGCAAAGCTACACAGAGAAACCCTGTCTCGAAAAACCAAAAAAAAAAAAAAAAAAAAAAAAAAAAAAAAACTACAGCATTGCTAACCTCCTTCCTCCTTGCTGATTTCTGGCTTCCTCTAAGGAGCTAGTTTGTTAGCATTAAGAAAGACTGCCAGCCCAGAAGTGGTAATGCTGCCATTGACTCAGTGGGAAATGGCTTTGTTTTCCAGTGCCTGGCTCGGGTAACACGTACCCAAAGGATATGGAGGCTTTGCTCCCCCTGATGAACATGGTGATTTATTCTATTGACAAAGCCAAAAAGTTCCGACTCAACAGAGAGGTAAGACCCAAAGCCTTTCTTACAAACCGGCACCTTTTCCTGTTGGTTTTCCCCAGTGGGCAGCGGCTGCCAGTGACTGCAACTGAATCTTGGCTACTTGACCTGAAGTGCAAAGGGAAATAGTTGTTTTGTTGTTTTGTTTTTGGTTTTGGTTTTTCGAGACAGGGTTTCTCTGTGTAGCTTTGCGCCTTTCCTGGAACTCACTCTGTAGTCCAGGCTGGCCTCGAACTCACAGAGATCCGCCTGGCTCTGCCTCCCGAGTGCTGGGATTAAAGGCGTGCGCCACCACCGCCCGGCAGGAAATAGTTTTTGTTTTGTTTTGTTTTTGTTGTTGTTGTTTTTCCAGACAGGGTTTCTCCTTGTAGTTTTGGTGCCTGTCCTGGATCTCACTCTGTAGACCAGGTTGGCCTCCAACTCACAGAGATCCACCTGATTAAAGGCGTGCGCCACTGCCACCCAGCGCAAAGGGGAATAGTTTTACCAAAGAATGCTCAGTGGGGTTTTCTCCTGTGGGATGGAAATGGGTTTCTTATGAAAACTTTGTTTCCTGGGGAAGGGTAAACAAAAAGCAGATAAGAACCGCGCACGCGTGGAAGAGAACTTCCTGAAGCTGACACACGTGCAGAGACAGGAGGCTGCGCAGTCCCGGCGTGAGGAGAAGAAGAGAGCCGAGAAGGAGCGGATCATGAATGAGGAAGACCCCGAGAAGCAGCGCAGGCTGGAGGTGAGACACCCTGCTGCTGGGCCTGCTGGGTTTGGCTGTTTTATATGTTTTGAGAGTATAATATAATTGTATCATTCTCCCTTTCTTTTCCTCTCTCCAAAACTTTCTGTATACATAGCCCCTCCCCCCAGCTCTCTTCAGATTCATGGCCTCTTTTGTTGTTGTTGCTGTTGTGTGTGTGTGTGTGTGTGTGTGTGTGTGTGTGTGTGTGTGTGTGTGTAAATGTATAAGCACAACCTGTTTAGTCTGTATAATGTTGCTTGTTTGTATATTTCCACGGCTGACCGTTTGGTATTGGCTAACTGGTTGGTGTGCTCTTCCCTGGGAGGATTATTTCTCCAGCTCTCCGCGTTCTTTAGTTGCCTGAAGTTCTTTGTCTAAGGTTGAGGCTTTGTGAGAATTCCCCAAAACTAGTTTGTTTTTAATTACCCAGATGTGGGCTGGAGAGATGGTTCAGCGGTTAAGAGTACTGACTAACTGCTCTTCTAGAGGACCCAGATTCAGTTCCTGGCACCCTCACACAGACATACATGCATGCAAAACACCAGTGCACATGAAAATAAATAAATCTTAATTATCCAGATGCCTATTTGTACTATACTGTCTACTGTGATAATCCTGTGTAGAGATGTAGGCTAAAAGTTGAATACTCTTCAGCATTTGGGATATGTTGTCACTTGACAGCACTTTATTCCTCTTCTAAGCCATACTTAGTTGAGTTTGTGTACCTGGAATTACCCTCTTTACCCCCCACAGTCCCATTTCAGATCACACAATTAGAAAGAACTTAGGGACTAAAAGACACTGGCATATGCGCCTTATATTTACATAAACTTGTCATTGAAAGTTAGGATTTGGGGCTGGAGAGATGGCTCCGTGGTAAAGAGCACTGACTGCTCTTCCAGAGGTCCTGAGTTCAAGTCCCAGCAACCACATGGTGACTCACAACCACTTGTAATGAGATCTGGTGCCCTCTTCTGGCCTGCAAGGATACATGCAGGCAGAACACTGTATACATAATAAATAAAATAAATCTTAAAAAAAAAAAAAGAAAGTAAGTTAGGGTTTGATACAGAAGTAGTGAATTCTGAGGTTTGAATGACATTCTTCAGGTAAAGGAGGCTCCTGCCAAGAAAATAGGAGTTGCTGCTGTGTGAGTATGTAGGTGCCAGGAGTCAGTCACTAATGTGTGGTGAGAGGTGTTCAAGAAACCTTAAAGCTGCTCCTGTGCCGCATGCTTTTTTTTTTTTTCTCTCACGCCACAAGGTAAAAAAACAAACCCTTGTGGGGATTTTGGGGTTTTGTTTTTTATCTTTTTCATGTCCTCTTGCTTTCTTGATTTTGTTTGGAGAGATGGACGGACAGAGCAGGGTGGTGGTAAAGAGACACGTAGATGTGTACAAAGGACAGACTCGGGTGTCATTTGAAAGGTGCTGTTCGTCTTTGTGTGTGTGATGCTGGCATTACACTTAGTCTTGTACATGCTAGGAAAGTGCTTTACTGCTGGCGTGTTCCTGGCCCTGCTTTTTTGCGGGGGAGAGGAGCATACAGGGACAGCATCTCTCTCTGGCCTGGAACTCACTTAGTAGGCTAGGCTGCCTGGCCAGCGTCACTCTTCCTCAGCAAGCGCCTGCCACCACACCAGACTTGACACAGGCTCTAGGGATGTGCGTGGGCCCTCATGCTTCTAAGACAAGCATTCCATCGACTGAGCTCTCTCTCTAGCCCTTAATGGCTGTGTTCATCCTAAAAATATCACTGTTTTTAATGCTGTCTTCATAAATAAAAATGACTTTTTGGTGTATACACATGGAAAATCTGCATTAAGAATCATCAATAGAAGAAAAAAATAACAAAAGAAAAGAAAAGAATCATTAATAGGTATTATCTTTCTTTTTTTTTTTTTTGTGAAGAAGGAAGTTCTCTTTTTCTGTGGTTTGAGACTCCAGTGGCTTAAAGGGAAAGGGGCCCAGGACTTAACCTGAGTGAGTTGGTAAGCTTCTTACAGAAACTTTTTAAAAAAAAAAAAAACAACCAGTTTAAAGCCTGGCAGTGGTGGCACACGCCTTTAATCCCAGCACTCAGGAGGCAGAGCCAGGTGAATCTCTTGAGTTCGAGGCCAGCCTGGTCTATAGAGCGAGATCCAGGATAGGCACCAAAACTACACAGAGAAACCCTGTCTCTAAAAACCAAAAAAAAAAAAAAAAAAAAAAAAAGACATCATTTCAAAACAATGTCTTACAATACACATTGGCCTGGAACTATGTAGCCAAGGTTGGCCTCAAAGTGTAATCACTCCTGCCTTAGTCTTCCAGATGTTTGGATTGGAGTGTGTTATCATGATTGGCTTGCAGTTATCTTTATAAGTATCTTCAAGAGTGTTCTCTGCTGCAAGACTAAGATTTTTTTTTTTTTTTGGTTTTTCGAGACAGGGTTTCTCTGTGTAGCTTTGCGCCTTTCCTGGAACTCACTTGGTAGCCCAGGCTGGCCTCGAACTCACAGAGATCCGCCTGCCTCTGCCTCCCGAGTGCTGGGATTAAAGGCGTGCGCCACCACCGCCCGGCAAGATTTTTAATGAAAGGCCCACACCTTTAATCCCAGCACTTGGGAGGTAGAGGTAGGCAGATCTCTATGAATTCTAGGCCAGCCTGGTCTACAGTGAGTTCCAGGATAGCCAGGGCTATATAAAGAGACCCTGTCTCAAACTCCCCCTACTCCCCAAAAGGGAGTTTGAATAATAATAGGGGTGAGTAGACCTCTGGTGCCCATGGAGACCAGAGGCATCAGACCCCTTGGAGCTGGAGTAACCGGCAGTTGTGAGCTGCCTGACATGTGCCTGGAACAGAACTTGGGTCTTCTGCAAGAGCAGCATGAGCTCTAACCACCAAGCTGCTTCTCCAGCCCCGGGTTTTTCATTGTGTGCTCAGAGCTTAATTTGGATCTTTCTCTCCCCCTCCCTATTTCACAGGAAGCTGCTTTGAGGAGAGAACAAAAGAAGCTGGAGAAGAAGCAAATGAAAATGAAACAAATCAAAGTGAAAGCCATGTAAAGTCACCTCGAGGGCTCCTCCGCCCGTCCACCTGTAAGCTCTGCGCCCACCGGAAACGGGAAAAGCACGAGTCCGTTTCCCCCTAAAGTTCACATATTCCTGTGACTGAGAAGTCCTTAGTCCACCCTCCCCTCCTCTTGGTTTGGAGTTCTACAGAGGCTGTAGATACATTGAAAGGGCTCTTTCACTTATTTCCGCCCTCATAATCAAATTAGTTTGATTATTTTATAAAAGAATGGTATATAAAGTACGTGTAGTTTAAAATATTTTTAAATTATTACGTGAATCATCAGTGCTTTGGTGTTTGAAGAACAATCATGAAATTTCTAGATGGGTTGTTGCTTTTTGTTTAAACTGGGCAATTGGAGTAACTGTGGAGACTGACCCCCAGAGTTCCTATTGGAATTGCACAATAAACATTGCTTGTTGTTTTCCTGTGTCACATTAAACTTGTGAGAGAAGTGGAATTTAGAACTGGTATGTGGTGACGACTTTCAGATCCCCTAGAACATGGTGCAGTGTGTTGGTTGTGTGTGGGCGGTGCTGGCGACAGTATTACAGGTGGAAAGCTCGCGGTGTTGGGTACTGTAAGTCCATGGAAGAGTCTAGAGGCAGGTAGTCCAGGAGCACTTTCTCCTTGCCTGGTACTATGAGCTAATGACAGTGTGAGTGCTGAGTTTGAAGTAGTTGGATGTTTATTTTTCCTGAGTAAGAAATGCGTGAAAAGCGAGCTGCTTCACCTAGCTCCAATCACCGCTCTGTGAGGTCATAGTGCTTTGCTTGGTTGCTGCAGCCTGTTGGGTCTTCACGGAGAAGCTGTTCTCTGTCTTACACGGCCTCCTTTCTTCTCCCTCTGCTTCTATCTTGTCCACAGTTGAGGCCGGTACATACTTTCTTAAAACAAATAGCCATCGATCTGCATAAGTATGCTTTTAAAAAGTGAGCTTTCTGGGCTGGAGAGATGGCTCAGAGGTTAAGAACACTGGCTGTTCTTCCAGAGGTCCTGAGTTCAATTCCCAGCAACCACATGGTGGCTCACAACCATCTGTAATGAGATCTGGCTCCCTCTTCTGGCCTGCAGGGATACGTGCAGGCAGAACACTGTATACATAATAAATAAATAAATCTTAAAAAAAAAAAAAAAAAAAAAAAAAAAAAAAGTGAGCTTTCTTAAATGATTGAGAGTTTTGTCTGCCTCCTGAGGCGGAAGCTTTCATGGGGAGAGGCCCCCCCATCTGCATAAGCATTGGCTTGTTGAGATCTCTGCATTTTATAAATGCTTCCTACTGAGAAAGCATTTTTTAAGTCACTCTTTGTACCAGGTAATTTTTGCTGGGATGGGAAAGAGTTGTTTTTGTTTTTTTTTGGGGGGGGGGACTGGGTGATGGTTTTTTGTTGATGCTTTCTGTGTTCTGAGGCGGTTACAGTGAGTTGTGGTGAAAACAGTGTGTGCTGTTGCCTTGGGAATTATATGGAGTTTTTCATGTGGCTTTGTCTAGGTTAATAGAAATTGTGTACGCTGGGATATGCAGGTGTATGCTTTTTAACAGTTCACAAGTTTTAAGTTATTAAGAATAACACAAAATTGAATCACTTTAAGGCCATATGATTCTAGACTTAACATTGTTTTACAAATCTTTAAAATACATTTTAGAATAAAAATTGATGTGCTTAGTTATCTTTTGAGTAATATAAGCTTTCTTAAAGTCCCATACATTCGGACTGTGGCAGCTAATTTTGTAATTTAAGCATTCATATGAACTACCTATGACATGTATTAAAAACTGTTGACAAAATCTGAGAGTGCCTCCTTGACTTTTTGGAATTGTCCTACAAGAATATACACATACATGCCGGGTGGTGGTGGCTCACGCTTTTAATCCCAGCACTCAGGAGGCAGAGGCATATGGATCTCTGTGAGTTCGAGGCCAACCTGGTCTACAGAGCAAGATCCAGGAAAGGCACAAAGCTACACAGAGAAACCCTGTCTCGAAAAACCAAAAAAAAAAAAAAACAAAACAAACAAAAAAAAAAGTTAGCACTAAAATGGTTCTCCCTTAAAAGTGTTAATCTTGACTATTCCTTTGTAGTTACCACTTAACACTTTGGTGTATTTTATATTCTAAAGCCCTGTATGTTGCTTCAGAAAGGGTCTCACTATGTAGCCCAAGTTGGCCACAGTCTAACTCCTGATTCTCTTGGAGTTGGCTAGCCTTGAACTCAGAGATCTGCCTACCTTTGCCTCCCGAGTGCCAGAACTAAATGTGTGTGCTCCCGCACTCAGCCCACCTTAGCCGCATATGTTATTAATGAGCTCTTCTTAGTCAGCTTTCTACCATTGTGACAAAATAGCTGAGGTAGTAAACTTCAACTAGGAAAAGTTCCTGGACTTTGCCCTCTTGCCCAGGGGAGACAGCTTGTAGTGGGGCAAAGCCATTTACTTCACAGTGGTCAGGGTGCTGACAGATAGGAGGGCAGGGGTTCTAATAGCTCAAGGACACAGCCTCAATGATCTGACTTCTGTCTACAGTTTCCATCATCTACCCATAGTGCCTGTCACTGGCTATTGACTCAGTCTTTACCATGGCATTTTGGGTGGACTTTTAAGATTCAAGCCATTATAGTATTTTCCTTGGGTTAAGACATCTTATTATGCATCAGTGGACCAAGTGAGGAGAATCTTGTTTACATCACACTGGAAAGAAACCATGCTTTCCAAATCCCTTTGCCTGGAGTTCTGAAATATAAAACAAAGATTTGGCTTCAGCATCAGTAAAACCAATTGCTAGGACCAGTGAGATGGCTCAATGTTGATGTTAAAGGATATAAAAGAGTTAGACCCATAGGGGTGGCTTCTATTACAAACTGCTGAAACAAAAGTAAAAGTAAAAAGAAGCCTGGCTGCGTGTGGTGTCATGTGTCTTTAATCCCAGTGTTTGGTGATCAGCAGAAGATTTGATTGCAAGAGGACAGCAACAGGACTGGAGAGAAGGTTAAGGGTTAAGAGCACTTACTCCCCTTGCAAAGGCCCCCCACATTGAAATCTCAGCTACCAGCTGATTCTAACTCCAGCTCTAGGGGATCTGCTGCCCTCTTCTGGTCTCTGCAGGCAACTGCATTCACATGCATCTGAACATAAATAAAATCTTTAACAAAGGGAGACGGTGTTATCTTTGTACAAGTTCACAATGGTCTCAACCCTCTGAATTTGAGAAGGAATAAAAGAAAGCTATGATTTTTCCTAATGGTAGATCATATTGCTTGCTTGCTTTGTTTTTGAGACAAGGTCTCATCTATAACACAGACTGGCCTGGCATTCATGGCAATGCCCCTGCCTCAGCCTGGAGTGCTGGGGAGATAGGTGTGTACCACCACATCTACTTGTTTTCTGAGAGGACTACTTGCTGAGTGTTACTTAGGCTAGTTTCCAACTCATGGGCTCAGTTTTCCTGCATCGGCTTCCCAGGCGGCCAGGGGTGCACTACCACACTCAACTTGCTACTGTCCTACCTACCTACCTTTTGAGACAGGGTCCTATGTATTCCAGCTTCTGATGCTCACCCTGGCCTTTTTTTTTTTTTTTTAATTACTTATTATGTATATAGTGTTCTGCCTGCATGTGTCCTTGCAGGCCAGAAGAGGGCACCAGATCTCATTACAGGTGGTTGTGAGCCACCATGTGGTTGCTGGGAAATGAACTCGGGACCTCTGGAAGAGCAGTCAGTGCTCTTAATCACTGAGCCATCTCTCCAGCCCACCCTGGCCTTTTTTTGTTTTGTTTTTCAAGACAGGGTTTCTCTGTGTAGCTTTGCGCCTTTCCTGGAACTCGCTTTGGAGACCAGGCTGGCCTCGAACTCACAGAGATCCGCCTGCCTCTGCCTCCCGAGTGCTGGGATTAAAGGCGTGCGTCACCACCGCCTGGCCACCCTGGCCTTTTTAAAGTATTCCTTTCCTTGGGGGTAACTGAGGAACAAGATACTGCCTCTGCCTGTCTGTTGAACATGCTGCCCTTCATAAGTGTTTTCCACTTTCTAAAGGTATTTCTAGTTAGCATACAAAATAATGAGTTTCCTTATTACATGTTCATACACATAGCATTGTACCTTGCTCATATTTGTACCCACACTTCCCTCCCTCCATTCATATTTTAAATTTTCATATTTACATAGATTTCTTCTGTCTATTTTTCAATTAGCTTATCTCTTATCAGAGTTAGAACTGAAGCCAGTTTCCTGTGTCAGGAAAGCTCTGGATTTGTGCACACTAGATAGTAAAATGGAAAGAGCATAAGGTTGAAAATACTTTACAGATAAGTAGTCCTAATCAACTTGTTCTATACATCCACACATTTCCCTTTTTCACTTGAGTTTTTTTTTTTTTAGCTTTATTATTTATTTTGTATACAGTGTTCTGTCTGCATGTATGCCCGCACACCAGAAGAGGTCACCAGATCTCATCATAGATGGTTGTGAGCCATTATGTGATTGCTGGGAATTGAACTTAGGACCTCTGGAAGAACAGCCAGTGCTCTTAACCTCTGAGCCATCTCTCCAGCCCTTGAGTATTTTTTTAAGCGAGGAGTTCACATATGTGTTTTCATGTGGAGGCTTATGTATTTAAACAATAGAGTTAAAAATACAAGTAGCCAGGGATACACAGAGAAACCCTGTCTCGAAAACCCCCCACAAAAAAAACATAATTTATACTGGGTGGTAGTGGCACACACACGCGCCTTTAATCCCAGCACTTGGGAGGCAGAGGCAGGTGGATCTCTGAGTTCCAGGCCAGCCTGGTCTGCAGAGTGAGTTCCAGAACAGCCAGGACTGTTACACTAGAAACCCTGTCTCAGAAACAAACAAACACACACAAGTAGCCTTTAAAAAAAAGCAAGTAGCCAATTCAACCTATCTCCATCCATCCCTTTAGACTTCAAGTCAGTTTCCGAAAGCTCTGGAAATCTTAAACACTCTTACTCATTATAAGTCAAAAGCATCAGGAACTTGCGCCTTCCAGGGCTCACACTCTGTAACCTCTGAATGTTGACCTTTCATTATACAGTTTGTTCGGACTTACCCTGATTGGTGTATAAAAGCTATGTATTTGCTCCTTGAAGCAGTCTGGGACTCTGAATAGCTTTGGTAGGTAGTCATACAGTTGGTAAAATCTTTTAGCCATGCTGATTCTCAAATTGTAACGTCCTGTTAGAAAATGTGGTGGCTGAGTTACTAGGTATTAGGACAGATGAAGTACCTAATGTTAACACATCCCATTGTAATGACTGTAAGAGGTTTTAGGGCTAAGGCACTTGCCCAGCATATGTGAGGTCCTAGGCTCAATCTCTACTACAGTCCAAAGAAGAAAGGAGAGAAAGGGGAAAGGAAATCTCAATTTGAGGTTGCCTTGACAATTACAGCCTGGTGTGGTGGTTGACATCTGTAATCCCAGAAGAGGCAGGAGGATCTCTGAGTTTAAGGCCAACCTGGGCTACGGAGCAAGTTCCAGGCCCGCCTGGGCTAGAATTGAGACCCTGGAGAGATAGGTCAGCACTTAATAGCACTTGCTGCTCTTGGAAAGGATCCAGCACCCACAACTATCTGTCACTCCTGTTCCAGGGGATACGACACCCTCTACCTCTGCCTGTTTATGCACACGTGTGGTGTACATAAGTACACTCAAGTACACATACTTACACAAACAATTTTAAAGCAAAATGAAGTTGGCGTCTTTTCATTGCTTTCTCTAATACTCTGAGTTCCAAAGACCATGGGAGCTGGCAGAAACTGAATTTTCCTCCACTCTCTTGCTTTTTGTGGATCCATTAGGTTCACTTCTGAAAGAAACATTTTGAGACTGAGGTTGTGCTTGAGAATGTCAAAGCACTAGGTAAGATTACAGAAGTGTGTAAAACAAGCCGGGCGGTGGGCGTACACCTTTAATCCCAGCACTCGGGAGGCAGAGCCCGGAGGACCTCTGTGAGTTCGAGGCCAACCTGGTCTACAGAGTGAGTTCCAGGAAAGGCACCAAAACTTCACAGAGAAACCCTGTCTTGGAAAAAGAAAAAAAAAAAAAAAAGAAATGTGTAAAACAGTGAAATCCCCTGTTAAGTTTGGTGTATTTCCATCAAGCCCCCGTTTGGATGTTTCTAAAATTACACATCTTGGAAGGTATTAGACCAGTATAAATCTGCGAGGAGACAGAACCGGAGAAAACAAGTATTCATTATTTGACAGCACCCCACAACAACTGGAGTGACTAGAAATCCTTAGTTCCCACAGGAGGAAGTCTTGCTGCATCTGGAGTGCTTCGTTTATCAGCCCTATATGCCTTGCTCTCTGCTACCTGTCTTCCTTCATAAAGGCAAACTCATCATAGGTTCCTTCAAATAAGACATACCACCAAGCTTTAATCCCAGCAGAGGCAGGCTGATCTCTTGAGTTCAAGGCCAGCCCAGGCTACATGAGACTCAAACCCAGTACAAAAAAAGTTAAGGATGAAGGAGGGTTCAGGAACAAAAAGATAGCTCTCGTTTAGTTGAGCAATTTTCCTTGCTTTACAGAGAAGGAACTTGGGGCACAGACACAGGGTGAGTTCCCTCTTTCGTTTGTTCCTAATGCCTGAGAGAGACCCAAGTCAGGCATATGAAGTGTTTGCTCATTTACGTGCTACCAGGTGAAATAATTTGCGGCGGATGGGGTAGAGTGGGGGGAATACTCCCGCTAGCCAAGTCGGTAGCTATGGTTGGCCTTGACCTGTCTCTTCCTGCTGCAGATAGGAGGGATATGGAGGCTCCAGGGCCCTTTT